AAAAAAAAAAATAGAAAGATTCATAATTGAATTTATTTGAGAAAAATCTCTACATGCATTTTTAATAAGCATGTATAACAAAAGAAAAGACTTTCTTTTTAATAAAAAAAAAGAAAAGAAATTCCAAAAACACAGGAATTTCTGCGATTTTACTTACATCTCGCTTCCCAGATTCTCATTTTCTAGAATTCTCGCACGAAAAGCATAACTGAAACGCTTAATCGTAAAAATTCAGAATATTTTTGCTCGCGATCTAATTAAGGCTCACTGTTCGCACGCGATTAAGGTAGTATCGTAGAGAAAGAAAAAAGTACCAGAGATATTAATCAAAGATTTCTCACATGAGATATAATGGGGGATTCGTCGTTAACGATGTAAGGATAAGCATCCATTATTCCGGCTCAGCAATCAGCTATTTTTCGATAGAGACACGTAATATTAATTATCGTAATATTAATGTAGACAATTTTAATTTTGACAATTTTGTATTTTCTTAAATTTCTACTTACTGCGATTTTTAATATTTTTAAATACCGTAAAAAATACACATATATACACTTATCAATGATTGGGTTTATTTCGATTCAAATGTATTTAATTCAATTTAAATTAAAATTTAATAGAAATTTTGGCGTAACGTATGAGCACTCGGCGAATTCAAATCATCTCAATCATTAACCTCTGGTCATTAATCAATTTGACAATTTTGTATTTTCTTAAATTTTTATTTATTGCGATTTTTAAGATTTTTAAATACCGTAAAAAAATACACATATATACATTAGTCAATGACTTATTTCATTTCAATTCAAATGTATTTAATTCGTTTTAATTTAATTTAAATCAAAATTTAATTGAAATTTTGACGCAACGCGCGAGCATTCGGCGAATTCAAATCATCCTCCTCGATCGTTGATCAATTTGACAATTTTATCTTTTTTTAAATTTATATTTATTTTTAAGACTTTTAAATACTGTAAAAAAATACACGCATATATATAAACTTGTCAATGA